AAGGTTCAGGAGCTCCCCCAGCCTGGCCCTTTTCATGTTGGTGGGGAGAGGCTGGATTTTCTCTGCCTTCCCTTTACGGTTGTTTGGAGAGCGAGCGCGCTAACACCCTTCGCTGGTGGTACACTGGGGTTTTTCCAATCTGTGATGGAAAAAAAAATGGGAATCTCTCTCCAGCAACTGGAGGCTGAGTGGAACTTCTGGGGAAGCGTTTCTTTTGGTGCCATCCTTGCTAGAGTGAATTTTTTGCTTTGGTATACTCACTGAAGTGTTTACTTTGCCTTCTGCTTTCCGTATTAAAACAGGCAAGCTGAGTTTTGTTTCCTCTAAGCCTGGGTTGAGGTGCTTCTCCTTCCTACTGACTCACACGCCAGGAGACCTGTTCAAAACGCCGCCTCTCAGATAACATCACCTCTGACTTACGTTTCCTTCTTCCCCACAGGTCTGTGCAGACTTTTGCAGACAAATCAAAACAAGAAGCTCTTAAAAACGACCTGGTGGAGGCTTTGAAGAGAAAGCAGCAAAGTTAAAATCCTCTTCCATGCTAACAAGACATGCCATGCACTCGTTAGATTCCTTTCGTAGAAAAACTCATTCCCCCCCCCTCCCCCCTTGCCCTTTTCTGTTACGTCACGTCACAATTTGCATTCAGTACTATCCATGCAACGCCATCTTCTCCCCATGAATAAAGCTCTACAAACTTTTTCAGTCTCTGAGGCCTACTTTGCACCACATTTTACTATTGAGACCTTAGGCTACGTTTCTGTAGAAGTCCATGTATTTTTTTTCTGCCCCCACCCCCTGCCTTTTCCACCCTCCCCCATTTATATGCATAACCACGGATCATTGTTTGTCTTTTCCTCCCCACCCCCCTCCTGCCTTTTGTTACATTGGTGTAAAAAATGTAAAACAAAAAAATTTATTAAATACTGTGGTGTGTGAAAGAGGAAGAACTGGAAAAAAAGAAAAAATAATTAATCTATTCCACGTATGTTTGGGGGCTGGGCACAGGGGATGGCTGGTGGGAGGGAGGGAAGAGAGGGTGTTCCTCAGTGTTGTACTATACTGATTAAACCAGATTTGCAAGGAGACTTTGATTAGGAGACCTGCTGAAAGTTCTGCTCTTCTATAGCCTGGTTCCAAGGCGCTTTTCTGTCAATTTTTATGGAATGCAAAAGGGGTTTTTGTTTTGATTTTTTGTTTTTTTTTTGTTTTTTTTTTTTGTAAAGCTTAAATTGAATCTACATCTGATACTTGAGCCTCCATACTTAAAAAAAAAAAGAAAAAAAAAAAGAAAAAAAAAAGACTAAAACAAAAAAATAAAAATAAAATCCCAGGAAGTAGTGTGTGTGGTTGGTGTCCTTATTTCTCTTTCCTTCCTGCAGCGTTCTGTGGGGTTTGTGTCGTAAACACTTTCCTTCATAGTGCCTGAAAGCACTTGCTCTGGGTGTAGATGGGGAGACACGTACTCCAGAACAAAAGCAAACACCAAACACATCCATAATCTAAACAGCCACTGGATTATGTGGCCATAGAAAAAACAAGAAAGCTTTTTTTAAATTTGTTTTTTCTTTCTCTTGCATCCAGATCAGCTGAAACGTGTTTGTTTTGAAGAGGGTGTGATACACGGCTGTTCTTCGCACGTGGAGCGTTATTCGTTACTCATCAGCCTGCTGTACTTCCAAGCTCCTGGCACCAGGATGCTGGCATCCCGCTGCTGGGATTGGTGCTTCAGGCATCCAGCAAACGTGGAACAGAGGTATTTAGAGGAGAAGGATTAGTCCAGCTTTACTGATGTGTTAAAAATTCTCCGGTGGGCAGAGCAGAGGTGTTTTGGTTCACTTGGCAGTTTGAGTTGGATGGTTCCAACCATTGATACTTACTCAAAAGCTCCTTCTCTGCTTGGTCCCTGTGGGATTTGTGAACCTCATCCAGGCTTTCCTTCTCTTTAAACCCTTGGTGGTCCAAGGGCCCATGTGCAGCTTCAGGTCTGCTGCCTACTTCCGTGTGCTTTGATTATAACAAACTCTTGATCCTGGTGAAATTGAACCTGCTGGGCTCTTCCTGGCCATTGGAATTAGCCTTTGGGTGAACCTATGCAAATAGAGACTGTTGGCATTAATATTGATTAGCACACTCTTAATTTTACTTTTCTAATGTGACCTGTTTCACATCCAGGCATCTGCAGGTGATTATGGTCCCGTGACAGAGTATTTACCCGGGGGCCTCTGGTCCGTAACGTGGCTCATATGGGACACAGGCTGGGGAACGGCACGCATGTGCTCTCCTCAAAGCTGGGCTCTCCTCAAAGCTGGGCTCCCCAGGGCGAACATGTTGAGATTTTGTCATCGTTGTCTCTGGGTTTTGTCTGAGGGAGAACATTTTTTTTGAAGTTGGAGATAAGTTTGCGTGAACTCTTGAAGCTGGGAAATAGCGTGTTAGCCCAGGAGGGGGGAGACTTGTGGTTCCTCTCGCCTGTTTCCAATTGGCACGTGCTAAAAGTTTTCAGGGGGTTTGTTTTCCTTCTCCAAAGCACATGAGCCAAAAATGGAAGTGGCTTATCTCAGATAAATTTAACATACAGGCTTGGGGTGTGCAGAGATGCACTTACTGCTTGTGTCCAGGGATAGACCCTGTCTGCAGAGCAGTTGTCCAGATACGAGCTGCAGGATCCAGGCAGCTACAGCAGCAGTTTATTCCTCTTTCTCTTCTCAAAGCAGAGGAACCTGATAGTTTGGGTACTAACCTCCAGTTTTGGTTTGGCTGCTCCATCCCCCAGCCTACCACCGAGTTACATTCTCAGTCTGGGACAAGTTGTTTCTGGTTTGTGTCTTTTCTGCCTCTGCCAAATCTTAAATTGCAGGCTCTTTTGGGGACAGGGCTGCATTACAGGCTCAGAGGGATGATAACCTCAGCAAGAGCCTCTTTGCAACACATATTTCCATCTACCACCACCTAGATGGCTGCTGGAACATAAAATATATCTATTTTTTTACTTCCTTATATTAGAGGTTGTTTTAATGGCTTTAAGAAAAACTCTTGGCTGGCTGGTACATGGCAGTTATCTAGTGTCATGAACTTTTGTTGCCACAAGGTACGTGTGCCAAATCCCATCCTATCCCTCTGCCCTAGGTCAGCTTAGGAAATCCAGCTCTCTGTAAACCAGCTGTGCCTTCCCCAGCACTTCAGGGCTGAGTTAGGTTAAATGTGAACCAAGGATAAAATACAAAATACAGCCAAGGTTTTTATTCCTTGAATAAAACTGAGCCCCAGGGTCTTTATCTGGAATAAACAGGTATTGAGGTGTAATGAAGCTGTGCTTTCTGTCTTGTTAGGAATCAGCTGGTGGTTTACATTAGTACTGGATAGGAATTGTTTTCCTGCAGCTCCTAGAGAGAGACAGCAGAGGAAATCCTGCTGGCTCAAGGACAGGGAAGAAAGAGGTGAGCAGCCCCCTTGCCCATGAGCCTGGAGGGGAAGGATTGTGAATTAATGGAGTGAAAAACCCACCTGCTTTATTTAAGGGGCTCCAAGAGTCTGAAAAGTATTTTTTCTTTCCAGAAACAAATGGGTCAGCTCAAATACTGGCACAACTTGTGCTTTCATTAATCTGCTGTTGCAGTTTGATGGGCATTGAGTAGTCTGACTCCCATTTCACGTGTGGTCTGGATTGAGCTGGGTAATCACAGAGCTGTGCCTTGGCTTCCTCGGTGCCAGGATGAAGCAGGGAGGAGGGTGACTTCCTTGGGAGGGACAAATGTCATAAATCATAAGGTAATGATAATGCAGCTAAAGCTAAAAGGGGCCCAGAGTGGGGTGCTGTCTGGGTGGGCAGTGGGGAAGCGCTGGGTATTGGGAAAGTAGCTGGAGAGGGAGACAAGGGGAGCAGAAAGAGCCAACAGTGACGGCAGGAAAAGGAAAGTTCTTCTTTATAAAGGACAAATTGTGTTAGTTTTTCTTGAAGGGCTACATTTTTGGTTGATTTTCTTTTTCCCCAGCAGGAAAAGCGCAGCACATGGGATGGACACAGCCATCTCGTGGCTACGCCACCGCTCTCCCCTGCCTGCCCCAAAGCATCTCCTTGGGATTTTCCCAAAACCACCACCACTTCTTGTCCTTCTGCAGTCAGGGAAACACCATGCTGGCATGCAGGGCCCTGAGAGAGGATAAAGTCATCAGTATTGGGGATAAATTTATCAAGTTCCTGATAAATTCATCAGCAAAAGAGGACAGGACTGAAAACCAGACAGACCAGAGAGGCAGCAGCATCTTCTGCCCAGGTCACTGCCTCTGCAGCTCACCAGAAAGCGATGGAGCTTTCTCCAGGAAGCCCATGCAATTAAAATGTGAGTGAGGCAAAAAATAAGAAGTCTGAGAAACGGGGACTATGAGACGCATTAAGAAAGAGGCAGGAGCTGCCAGATGAACCAGCAAAATAAAACCAAAGGAGGCACATGGGGCAAGGACTTGTTTTATAGACTAAATAGGTCTCTGTGGACCGAAACACTTTGGTTACACTGCTCCTTCCTTCTGAACAGGTTCCAGTCACTGCTGTATCTTCCAGAAAGAGCTCAGTGGTGGAGACATGAGGCCCACAGAGACAAGTGGTGCTTGTGTTTGTGGCAGGTCGGTCATCTCTGTCCCCTCCCTGCAGCCCTTAAGGCTCTTCTCATGTTTGCCAGTACTGAGGAAGCTCCAGATCAGCCTTGAGAGAAGAAGGGCTCAGCTGTGGGGTGTAAGAGCAGTGAAAAGCGACCTTTTGAGGTATTAAATAATTCCCTGTTTATCCTGATATATCATTGGTATCAAAGAGGCACGAAGTGTCTCAGCAGCATCCCCTGCCACCTGGCTGGGCTTAGTGTCTTAGCAGCACAATGTGTCACCTGCTGGCTCAGGTCCTCTTCTTCTAAGAGCCACCAGGATGGAGGGGCCAGTTGGCCCAACGTTAAGACAAGCTTTCTTGTCTGCAGCATCCTGTTCTCACTCCAGGGCAGGTCCTTTCGTCAGCTCTCCAGGTTGTCACCCTGCTCACCGAGAAGAGCATCCCTCTCTTCGTGGGCACCAGGTCTTCCTCTCCGATAAGCGAGGAACTGGAAGGAGATCTGAGAAGAAGTTAAGGTTCTTCAAGCAAGCAAGGGTGGATCTAAGTGACACGTTGGATCTCACCACCCAAAACCAGGCTGTTTGTGCCAAGAGAGGTGGAAACTGGACAATGAGCTTAATACAAACAAGGGTCTGAAGCATCCAGCTGTTGCAACACCATAAATTACTCACTGGCACAGCTCAAAAAGCAACTGCTGAGTAACATCAACTCACCTGCTCCTGCCTAACCCTGCCTGCCCTCAGACTGGATCACTCCCTGCAAAGCCTTGCCGGCGGAATGCGATCCCAGAGGGAATCTGGGATGGTGAGGAAAGGATACAACCACATCAAGGGAGAGGACACCCAGGCTGCCCACCAGCCAGGGGAGGTGGTGCAGGACGTAGTCACCTTCGCCTTGCCCTGGCTCAGGGTTCTTCAGGAGGACGCTGAGGCCGTAGAGTGAGTTCCCCAACATCACCAGGGCAAAGAGGGAGTAGGAGACCCCGATGGTGGATTTCCTCTTGTACTGGAAGAAGAAGGGTCAGCGAGAGGAGCTTGAGTGCAGTTTTCCAAAACCTCACTAGAAAGTAGTATTAATCACCCTCCCACCAAAAAGAGAAGAAAAAAAGGTGGTGACTCAATGCCAAGAGTCTTTTAATTCCCCTTTTGCTTGTAAATAAAGGCAAAATGAAAGCCCCACCCTCAAAACATTGGTATGTTAAAGGGAGAGGAGAAAAATTAATCAGGCTTCGGAGCAGAAAATAGTCCCTTATGAAATAACCAGAGATGGGGACCTGGGACTTCTAAGTACAGAGGAGAAAGATGATCCCACTGCCCTTCTTCAGTTTGAAATCTCAGGACCCTGGGGATCCCCAGGACTGGGCTGCTGTCCTCCTCCACCCGCACACTTACGTTAGTGTAAAGGGAGAGGAGAAAAATTAATCAGGCTTCGGAGCAGAAAATAGTCCCTTATGAAATAACCAGAGATGGGGACCTGGGACTTCTAAGTACAGAGGAGAAAGATGATCCCACTGCCCTTCTTCAGTTTGAAATCTCAGGACCCTGGGGATCCCCAGGACTGGGCTGCTGTCCTCCTCCACCCGCACACTTACGTTAGTGTAGATCTGGGGGGGCAAGGGGGGGGCCACGAGCAGCCCCCATGTTTTCAGAGAGGCACTTAACACCCACACCACAGCTCTGTGCGAGGTGGCAGCGGGACCAAACCTCAGCCTTTCATTTCCCCATCCATCCCTCGCTCCACTGAGCACTAAGCAGGATCGCACTGCTCCAGCAGGACATGCCCATCCCACCGGATAGTTTATCTCTTATCTCTTCCTCCATCACCCAGATTTAGGAACTGTCTTACCTTTGACCCCAGCTCATCCATGTGAGCAGAGAGCAGAGACCTCCCTTTAAACGTCAGCGGGTCCTGCACCACAGCAGCGCCTCTGCCCAGGAAGGAGACAGTCGACACCATCCCCAGAGCAATAAAGACGAAGGCTGCGTTGATCGGAGCAGCGACTGGGGAAAATCAAGCAGAGGCTGGTTAGGGAAGGCTCCTCCATCAGCCCCCAGTGCAGCCCAGCACCTTTGGTGGGTGTCAGGACCCTCTCTGGGTACAGAGACCTTCAAGCTCTCCCTTATCTCTGCAGTGACACAGCCAGCACCACGTAACGCGGGCGATAGCTGCTGCGGGCGTTTTATCTCGCAACGATACGAGCAATTGGTAAGTTATCAGGGAGGAAACTGCTTCTATCTCGGCAAACCAAGAGCACTCTCTTAAAAATAATTGCCCTTGTCTAGAAGCTTTTCACCATCTTCACTCACAAGAGTGCATGTTCAAATCCCTGCCAGATCAAGCCTGGCTTTGGCAGCAAGACTTAACCAAGCTCTCCAGTATCACCAAAATGATATAGTTGATTGGCCAAATATAGAATCATAGAATGGCTTGGGTTGGAAAGGACCTTAAAGATCACTAGTTCCATCAATTGGTTTAATAAATTCAAATAGCTTTAAGAAGTTAAATAGTTTTTAGGATCCCAAGGGATGAATGTTTGTAATTTACAGAAAGCTGCAATGCTAAAAGTGGATTTTCTCTTGATAAAAAGTGGATTTTCTCTTGCTGTTTAAGCCTTGCAAGAACTATTCAGCTTCCTTTTTTTACTCCATTTGAACAGGGAGGAACTTCTCCATCATGTCAAGGCTCTTTAATAGCAAAAGGAGTACTGGTCCCAAAACTGTCAGAAGACTCCACCTCTTCCCCTAAAGCGCTGGCCTGAGAGTCAAGAGATCTGGCTGTGGTGTGCAGCTCCAAGATGGAGTCACTGTGTAACTGCAGGTAAGTCATTTCTTTCTATACTTAATGCAACTCACAAGGGGTTTATTTTCAACCCAGACACTGCACATGGTGGTTTGCAGAAGCCCCAGGCACGGCTGGTAGCTATTTGCTAGTTTTTGCTTTCAGAAGTGCTTGGGTTATCGAAGGATAAAAAAACCCCAGCAAGCACTAAGAGGCAACTAAGAGCTGCATTAATGCATCTGCAAAGCCTCTCTGCCCCAGTGCATCTCCCCCAGGGATTGCTTCCCTCCTGGCTCCACAGCCGAGTACAACCCAGCCTGAAAGATGTGCCAAGGGGAGCACACGGCCCCGCCGCCCTCGGTACCCAACTCACATCCTCCACCTCGGTTCTTCACTTTGTAGTAGCAGTAGAGAGACAGCATCACCAGGTCTGCGAGCACGTAGTAAACAGCTGTGTAAACCTACGGGGGGAGAAGGATGGGTTGGTTCTACCTGTAGAAAGGCTTCTAGCTGGATATCTGGGATGAGCCAGCATCCCGGGGTGTGGGATTGTATCCCCTGGGGAGAAGGGAGCATCCCAGGGATGGTTGGGTGGTTCTGGTTCCCAGTGCTGGATTAAGCAGCACCCGTCCCA